ACTGCTGCACAGCCAGAGTTAGTGGGAGAAAGTGGGGAAACCCTCGGAAGTCATGGTGCCAGAAGCCAGGGCAGATACACCTCTTAGCAGGCATACCACTAGGCAAGGGGGAAACCCCCAGCTAGAGCTCTGAGTGGGTGGGAGTCTGGGCCAATGAGCCTGGAGGGGAGAGGCACAGGCTGATGGGAATCAGCGCACAGCTGGAGGGCAGAGAACACTCCTGACGGGTGCAACACAGAAGACGAGGCGATGGCCCACATGGTCAGAAGATAGGTTACACAAAGGGGACTGCACAAATAAGTACATATATTGAAAATAATGGAAACCAGACTTCTCACCTCAAAGGAGGTACAAACATGGAAAGAGGGAAGGCTCAGCTAAGTCAGCTGCTTTAAAAGATCTTTTCATTTCTAAGGCCTTCTCTTTACTGCACTTATCTGACCCCCAGGTAAGTACTCCTCAGCATTTCTCAGGATGCTATGTCTAGAGTTCTAATCCAGGAAGAGCCTTATGGAACTCATTAAGGTGTGGGCAGCACATATTTTATCTCTTCCAGGGACATTTGTATTCTCCCAGGACATCAGTTTCCAGGGTCAACAACTGTGGGAAGAAGAAAGGGAACTCTGCCACTGCATCCCAAATCATGCCTGCTAAAGATAATGTCCTCATAGATGTGAATGACGCACATCACAGATAACCCCAAACTCACCACCTGAGGTTCTTACTCAGGATCCAGAGGCAGGTTCTCCACACTCTGGGCTAGGACACTGGCATTTAGAATTGGAGCATTACCCCATACAGACCAAGGGCTCACATTTAATCAAAGCAGTGGCTATTTCAGAGGAAGGTCACTATTAATACAATGAAAGGTGGATACACTAACATACAGCAGAGTTATCTGTGATTTAAAAACAAGTTCTAGAGTACTTGCTAGGCCTAGCTGCTCAAGCAAATTGTAAAATTTTTCAAAATGTAACTGTGATTTGCCATAAATAAAAATTTTATCCACACATTAACACAATGTGGGGCTATATTTTATGTTTACATTCTTTTTTAAAACATCTATTCTATAGATTTTAACTATTTATGTACATATATACTAAAAAATGTCCTTAAACTGCTTACAAAATTCCATACAATATTCAACATCTTTTCCATCCCAGAAATAAAAACATGCTCTAGGAATGTGTTAAAAATGATCATCTCTGCCATGAGGTCAGCTTCAAGTTTAACATATTTTTACACTTATGTGCAAAGCCTTGGATCCTGTGGAGATTAAAAGATGAAAGCAGCCCAACAGGGTCCCTGTGCCGAGGAGAGGTCAGAAAGGAAAAAACATGACTCCAGCTCCCAGCCGCTGGATTATCCTAATTGGAACCGCTGGCCCTGAACTCTCACCACTGGCGAGTTTCAAGGTCCCAATATTTCTTTTCTCCTTTGTTTGTACAGCACCAAAGTTAGGCCATAGCTCGGTGAAAGGCAAGGAGAAAAGCAGCAGAACGACCCACTCTGGTACTTAAAAGAGGGAGTGAGAAACTTGCAAATGTCAGAAACGAGACGCCCTTTTCCTTTATTTGAAGCATTATCCTCAGATCATGCCTCCAGTAAAATACTCACATCTGTACTCTCTGGAGATGATCAAATAGTTACCTGGGCCCAACCAGCAAGTTGGTTATTTTGTTTTAATTAGCACACTTGCTACCACAGACATGGCATCTTAGTGGGGAAGTTTATTAGCAGGAAAGAGGCTGGAAGTCAAAGACCATCCTTCCACTTTGGGACCTTTTCTCTGTTCATTAACAGATCTATCAGCAGGCAACCAAGTGAACTGAAAGAGGCGGTGTTCACACACACTCTGCTACTTGCTAGCAGCTCTGGTAAGACAGGAAAAATAGAAAGAAAAAAACTCTCGGGAGGAAATGTTGAAGTCAGATTTTGTTATTCCTTTGAATTTCCATAATTCTTGCTCTCCTTAGCACTAATCATCATGGAAATCCTGAGATCCTGGTAGAGGAGTTCACTCTTGTCCTAACTGAGAGGTTTATGAAAGCTGGACCACAAAACCTACAGCAATGGGGAGTCCAATGGACAACCGAGAGAGCATGTACAGGTCCTTCATCCACACTGTCAGTCTAACACATGCCACCTTATAGGAAAAGAGGTTTGGGATCAAAAAGAAAATTTGGGTATGGAGTAAAACATGAGCTAAGCCTCAAGCTAGAGTTCAAACAGACCCTGTGCCACCTTTGATTCCAACATGAACGATCAGGGAATATATTGATAATTATGAGGACCTTTATGATTTTATTAAAGGGAATTTAAAAGCAAGATCATCAGGGCCCAAAATGTTTGAATACTTTCTAGAACATTCTAGAATGGTCTATTTTTGATTAAGCACCGTTGTGTGTGATCAGGTGACTATATTATAATGCACAAATCCAAATGTGGTTCATTTTATACTGTAAATAGTATCTTTTGGGATTTGAAAAATATACATTCATAGAAAAAATATGGAATCTAGATTTCCTAGGTCAGATAATGTCTTTAGTGTGTGTTTCTTTAGACAATGGCTCAGCTTTCAGAGTAATGATTCACCATTATATTAATACTAAAATCATAGGCCTTGTAAAGGTCACTGTATCTTGGTAGGTCTTCCTTCCTAGGTTAATGTTTCTACATAAGCACCATACCTTTTTCAGCATATGCAACACATGTGTATTGGTCACCAATACATATTGCGGGTTCAAGGGACACATTTTTTCCCTCTATGGTCTACTAACAAATTTAGTTCAGCTCTTCTTCCCAACTTTTAATATGTTTCTATAGAAAATTAACAGATCTTTCTCCTTATCTCTTCCCACTGCCTTCCTTTTCTCCTTCTCTCCCTTTACTATACAGACAGATTTAAGGTACCATCCCTCCTCACTGTACTAAAACGACTATAAAGTTTACTCTTTCTGATTAAAACAAACGAACAAAAATATATCAAAAGGAGTATGTGCAAATGCAAGATATTTTTGATGCAAAAATATTTTCAAAGAAAACCAAAGGAGCTCAGAAGACTCCCCGAGAAATACTATTTCTACATTTCCATTCCATTTGTTTCACTCTCATAAAGTAGAATTGTTTGTATAAATTTCCCCAAATTTTGAAGTTTCATCAAGATCTTGAAATCTGCTAATATTCTTGAGAGAACTAAGGTGTCAGTCTTCAAAAATGATAACATACTGTTTGAAAATGTATAAATCATATATATTTTCATTTTATACATTTTTACAATGTATATAGTGACAGGAATATATGCAGCATTTACAGTCACCTCATGCTGCAGGTCCTAGTGGCACAGATCATTTAACCAATGAAGTTTATGACTTTATCAACTGCATTTTTTTCTACTACCTTAGACAAAAAAAAAACAATCCTCACCTGGTTCAGTCAACAAAGTCCACATAAGAGCAATAAAAATTCACTATAATTGAAAAATTCTAAGTGCTCCTAGTTATGACTGCATTCCTGAACTTGATGTTTCCCAAGGTTAGCCTTCCGGAGTGCTAACATCATAATGCCATAAAAGTGATAAGAGAAAACAATCCAAGAGCAAAGAACTAATTAGCTCCACAGGGACACACCAGGCAGGAAGGCTAGTTTTCAAAGGATAGAGTGTAAATCTTCAAGTAGCAAAAACTGTAAACATGAGTCACTTCTTCTATCTAAATCCAAACCCTTAAAGCAAACATTTGGGAATGCCCTGCAAATTACCAGGGCACTGCTTGACAAGTTTTTTCGGTGGGAAGTTGCTGCCATCCAAGACAATGACCTATATGAGTGTTATCCTAATGCATGAGAGAATGTATGAGAACTCACCAAGTGAGAACATAACGAGACGGTGGAACACCTGTTCTCCTGGGGGAGACTAGGGGACACCTGATTCTATGGGTCTAAATCCAACATTTCTCTAGGAATTCCTTTTCTGCCTTCGTAATTCCAAAGCTCTCTATAATACTCAGTTATTTGGACATTATCTATTTTTATTTCTGTTACTGTTTTCTTCTCCAACACCCCTCTTTCTTTTCTCACATACACATCCCTGAGGCCACAATTTCCTCAGTGGACACTGGAAGCTCCAGTGAGAGCAGGAAAATAAATCCCTGTCCTGACAGTGTTCCCACGTCCAAACCCCATGTTCCAGAGTCTGCCGGCCCAGCCTTCTTCCCATCCCACCTCTAGAGTGACCTCCAGATTTGAAGCTTCTAACCTCAGAGAGTCCCACTTGTACTCTCTCTCTCCCTGACACTTAGGCATGCTCTCTAAACAGTAATATGCTAGCCAATTACCCAAGCCTTAGAAATATAAACAAATAACTTAAAAAACTGTTTCTTTATTCATGTGTCTGTTAAACACGTAGCAGACCACTAAAGGAACAAACATCACAAACCATGTTTCTCAAACTTTTTTTTCATTATCGCCTCCCCTGAGGTGCCTTTTTAGATATTTTTTTCCAATATTGCCCCTGCCATGAAATTTTAATACCGTTGATATACTGTAATCTGTTTACATGATAAAGAGTAGTTTTTTCACCCACCAAGAACTAATTTTCACCTTCGTGGGGGAGATAGAATCCCCACTGGCAATGCGTATTTTTGAAGCAGGCAGCAATTAAAGTAATTTTGCCAAAAGTATCTAATACTACTAATACTCAGCGGGATACAAATCACCAAAAAACGTCATCTTTCCTGTAATCAGCAACCTGTATTGAAAAGCTCCAGAGAAGCAAAGTCTTATTCTCCTGATTTTCTAGAACACAAGCCTTCTTCCAGCAGTGCCTACTGCCTTGTTCCTCGACCGCCCCACAGGAAAGCCCACAGAGCTAGCAAGCGTGAAGCGTTCCCTCAGGTCAACACCAACCCCAATCTTCAACCTTACAGCATTTTAGTTCTATGCTCAAACAGAAACAGAGTCAGCCCACTTCCCACTTCAGAAACTAAGTAAATGCACTTTACCTCTTGCCGTTTGAAGTTCTGGACATATTCTTCAAACTGTTCGTCTTTTGTCTCATCAGCTTTCCCAAGCTTCTGAAGGACCTAGTTTGCAAAGAAAACAAAATGGTTTGATTTAATAATGGTTTCAAATAATAATTACAGTTTCACCGCTCATAGGCTGTGTGACTTTGAGCAAGTGTCATGGTTTGATTGCATTTATTTATTGACATATCTGTTTCCTTCAGGAGGCCACACATGACTTAAAGACAAAAGCTTTGCCTTCTTTAGTCCAATGCATCTGGCATATGCTTGATGGTTAATAAGTACTCAATTTTTTGCTAAACAGTGAACCAAGGTTATTTGACTAAAGTATTAACCTACTTCATAGTGATAGTATTAGAATTACTGGAGTCAGGCACATGGAAAGTTTTCCCCCACCATCTTCCAAAATTCCCGTCAATGGAATAAACAATCCAAGGGGCACTGGGCTACACAAGGCCCCATGCTGAGCACTGGTCATCCAAACACACAAAGACAAACAAAACAAGGCCCCAGCCTTGTTAAGAAATTTATCATCCACTGGAGTAGACAAGGCAGGCTCAAAAATAACAAATCAAAGACAGTGTGTAATAAGCAACATGAGGGAGTTGCAAAGTGTTATTAACAATATCCCTGAGAGCTGAGGTTGGGGAACACTCTGTGGAGGTTTTTCAAATTGTGATGGAAACTCCAGCAGACAGGAATGTGTTGGACTGCACGCCAGCCACAGAAGTAGTCTCAGCAAAGATCCCTAGGAAAACCAGGATGCATTGTGGGACTGAGCAGGAGCAGTTCTGTTTGTCCAGGGCACAGGGCTGTGTCAGGAGAAGTAGTTCTCAGAGATACAGCAGAAAGTACTCCGGGATGGAGCAGAGGATCCTGAGAGCCATGGCTGGGCTCCTTACTCACAGTCCCATAGCTACTATCTCAAACAGCAACTCATTCGAGAATGTCAAAAGTTCGTAAGCATTGCCTTCTCAGAACACACACACCCTACGGCATTGCCAAATATGTTTTTGTGAAACATAAACATTTGGGCATTAATACAAATGACCTCCCACCACAAAAAAGAATAAATAAAATAAAGCACTTTCTATGGCTAGGTTTTATATCAGGTAATGTTAATTTGTTTCCTAAATTCAAAGATAGAACCTTGTACAAATTAACAAGTTTTAATAATGCCTTTCAATGAGAAGACAGAGTGAGAAAAGTCCCCTAAAACTTGGGAAGAGACAAGAGACCCCTATGTGTCCCTAGTGCAGGGCTGGACTTACACTTCTGATTGGCTTCCTGTTGTCTCATCTGGGTCATTTACAGCTTTGTAGGGACAGAAGTTAAAGTGAAGATTTTGTCTGGAAGAAATGCAAATATTGGGTCGTCAGGAAAGTCATGACATATTTTTCTGTTTTTCAATGCAAAAATGCATCATGACTTTCCCGACAACCCAACAGTTCCTGTCAAATAGTAAAGTTAACCCCAAAGATTATAGCTTATGACCTGGAGGACATTCACCAGCTGGGATCTAACTCACCAGTCTTATTCTAAAATCCCTTTATTACGTCGTCCATACATACCTAGCTCCTCAAATACACTTTGAATCAGCTTTAACACCTCACTGGAGGCCTCATTCATTCATTGGTTGAATAAAATCTATGGCACATGTTTGTTTCATGTTTATATGAAAATCTTGTCTTTACCTTTGAAAAGTTATACTTTAACAACAGGGTCGACTTAGAAGTGTGCAAATGCAAAATATTCTTACTATAATTTGTATTACTATTGTAAGAAAGATAGGGCAAAGCACAATTACACAGGCCACTTACAAGACATGTAAAATTCAATGACATAGGGATTCTTGGCCTTATTACAAGGTCTTCCCCCATCTACTCCCATATTTTCATTCAATAACTTCAAGAAAAAAGAATTTTGTTTAATTGCTTTCCTCCTTTTTTTTTTTCTAAAGCTAGGTTTCCCAAATGACCTCCCACCAAAAAAACAAACAAATAAGCAAACAAACAAACCAAAAACTAAAGTATCAGGGGAAAGACACCTAGTATGTACCACATGGATTTTAAAAAAATTCTTAACATCTACCAATTCATAAATTTTTAGTTCCTCTAGATCAGGTAAGTTACTGAACCAGCAACACCTCACGTGATGGGAACAGTTCACAGGGACCAGGGAAGGCTCTCGAATTCTCATAAGCAGCTGCAAGTCTAATGCTCAGTTCTATACTCTGTATGTTACTGAAAAGGAACACTTGTTTCAGAGAGTGGGGGGAAGAGACAGAGACAAACATTTATTGAGGAACTAGCATATGCCTGAAACTGCAGAAAGTTATCTCCAAGTTACCTCTTCATTTCTCCTAACACTCCTATCTGATACTTATTTTGGATCACAGTTAGTAAGTAGCTTATTGGAGACCCTCAGGAAAGGCCCCACTCTGAGATCTGATACCTCTGTCAGCATCCACGTATAGTCTTTTCCTTCTCATGGAAAGCAAATAAGATTTATATATCAAACTATTCCTCTCATATTCTCATTCAAAATTCCTCCAGGCTATCACACCCTAAGAAAGGCATATCTCCTAGGCAGCACATCGACAACATTGGAGATCTTTGGCAGACCCCTTGTTGAAAGTCTGTTATTTAAATTTCAAATCATGATTCCTTGCTTTTGATGTTTCTAGCAATTGTACAGTAACTAAACAACAACAACAAAAACTGATCTTGAGTGTAACGAGAGATAAAAGAATTACACTTGGATGATATCATAAGCCCACACTTTCTCTTCTAAGGAAATTAATAAAGGACCCAAACTCCCTGAGTTATAGCACACCCACATGTTGGTGTCAACTGCCTAATGGCACAGCACAGAGGAGAGATGGGAAGGGCCTGGGACAGAGGCAGGAAGGGGTCCAGCCTTGGCTGAGAGACTTCTCCATGCCACTCACTACATTAGACTTGTGCCTGTTCCCTCAGCCGGTGCTCACAGCAGCTTGTTCATCCCTGTTTTACAGAAAAATGATCTGAGGCTGAGAGAGGTCAGGCAACTTGGCAGGACCCAGATACAAACCCAGGACTTCCACCCCAGTCCTCATGGTGCCTTCCTCATGAAGGTACCAAAGGGCTGAGCCACCCAAAAAAAGGGATGCCTATAACGTGGTCCTGAAATACAAATGTCAAACTTCTCTAGATATCAAAATTTTAATGTGGTCATAAGCAGTGGTATCCAAAACAGGTACTGATAATTTCCACATGTCCAATCAATCCATCAAAAATCATAATCATTCTTCTTACAATAACAAAAGTTATGTGACTCATTTTTTTCATTTCCTTTTTCATCTCTTACCTGAGAGTAAAGCCCTACCTTGCTGAACCATCAGGTTCTACCATCATCAGCTCGCTTCTCATTTTCCCAATGTTACCAAAGTCTGTTTTCTAACATGCTCCTTTGGACATGTTATGACCCACATTTAAGTCCCACTAAGGGTTCTTGAATCAAATCCTAATTTCTCAAGGAGAATCACAAAGTCCCAATGTCCTCCTGGCATTCTAATATATCAAGGGAGGCAGCATGTAACAGAAAGAGCAATGGTTGGGAGGGTGGTGAGACACCGAGGTCCTAGGTCTTAGTATGTCATTTAGAGATAGAAAAGCATACGGCAGTTAATAAGCAAAGACAGCATTTTTAAAATAAAATTGTATATGGATTCACACACATACCAGTTATTCAATATCACTCAATTTCATTTCATAAGCCAATATTATATATGAATAATATGAAAGATATATTATTCCTCGTTGTAAATTTATTGTTTTTTAAAAAGCTGGAGGGATTCAGTAACATAAATATTAAAAAGACAAGGGTTAATCTTTTTATTTCTTTTATAATTTTTATTTAAAAAATATAAAACCTTTTCTTTATGATTTTCTGTATTTTCCATAATTCCTCAATGGTTATATGTTACTAAAGTAATCAGGAAAAATCATAAAGATAAATAAACAGGGGTTTGTCATACTGATACCCTGTTATAAAAGATTTATGTAACATTGGATTGTTGGAAAAGTCATAACATATTTTTTCTATGTTTTTCGTTGCAAAAATGCATCATGACTTTTCCGAAAACCCAATAGATTCTAGTACAAGTAAGTTTACTTGTTGGTAACTGGTTGAAAGACTCTCAAAAGATATCGATGAGTGTCTTAATACCAACTGGAAGAACAATTTCCAGAGGTAGCCCTCAGGGACCTGTGTGTGATCCAGTGGATCATGTGTAAGGTGAAGGTACTAATGGTACATACTTCACAGTACTGTGTGGAGCTACTAAGGAGACACACAGAAACGCTGAGCTATGATGACTGGCATAGATTTAATGTTCAATACATACCTATTACAGATGGTATTATCTAACCCTATTGAATAATTTCATCAATGGCATAAACTTACATTGTCAAAAAGCTGGGGGGAATATTGGATATGTTATTTTATAAGAATCAGGATTCACAAAAAGACTTTCTCTAACAAGACGAAATTCAACAGGGATAAAATTCAGGTCAAAAGCATAATTGTTCAAGTACCAGATATATGTATTCAACTCTCAACTAAAATGCAACAGGATGCATGCTAGGAATACATGGTCCTGCCTTTAAATAGAAATAATGACTTTAGTCAAAATGAGTCACTAAAGTGATGTCACTGCCCAAGCATCTAATGTAATCTCAGGCTGCAAGGCCAGCATGACAGCCACCAGGGGAGGGTCCTGAACGCATCCCTGCGGTGGGCTGGCTGGTAAACACATAAATACAGACAGGCTGAGCCAGCTAAGGGAGCCTCCAAAAGGCAAAGAGAATTGAAACCAATGAGGTAAGAGGAGTATCTAACACAACTGGCATATTACCAGGGAGAATAGGAGACAGTGAGGAAAAGACCACAGCTGTTTTCAAATCATAATGAAGAAGGATCAGATTTGTCCCATCAGAAACCAAGATCAGGAACTAGCACAGGCAGAGAAAAGCTATATAAAGGAACATTTGCATAAAAATGTGTATCATGATTTTGTG